GGAAAACATAGTATGGATGCTGAGTCAGCATCCATACTGTTTTCCAATAATTTATTTCTTTATTGTATGGATGCTGAGCCAGCATCCATACAATTATGTGATGAGTGTAACTAGGCTTTGTGTGAATGATGTAAATGCATTTTTGTAAAGATTGATTGATCGTTCGGTTGATTCTATAAAAGTATATAATGTTGTAGTTGGGAGATGGTGTGCTCATGTAACAAGGACAGGGTATTATAATGTACATGGGATGGAGATTCAAAGATTTTTATTGAGAAACCATCTTTTTTCCACTGTTTTTGGACTGAGCCGGTTTCTTTTCTTGCTGCCAACTTCTCCAGCTTTTGAAAAACACACGTTGACATGGCACTGATGAGGCTGGTGTACATATGTATTGGTTTGCTAGGGAAAACAAATGTGGGTAAACATTTTTGTGCTCATTCCAGTAGGTCAGAGGATCACATCTTTCCAAAGGAGGATCTGTCATGTATATAGTGCTTTTCTGCGCCTACAAACCTGCTGAAGCACGCACAGGAAGGTCTCGCATTACGAAGCAGTATTGACTGTTTGAACCAGTCATGTGATTCCCTCGGGACTTTCACTCTTTGTTATATTGCAGCCATATGCTAAAATCATTTAAGTTCATTTTTTTCCTCATTAATGTACACACAGCACCCCATATTGACAGAAAAACACAGAATTTTTGACATTTTTGCAGATTTATTAAAAAAGAAAAACTGAAATATCACATGGTCATAAGTATTCAGACCCTTTGCTCAGTATTTAGTAGAAGCACCCTTTTGAGCTAATACAGCCATGAGTCTTTTTGGGAATGATGCAACAAGTTTTTCACACCTGCATTTGGGGATCCTCTGCCATTCCTCCTTGCAGATCCTCTCCAGTTCTGTCAGGTTGGATGGTAAACGTTGGTGGACAGCCATTTTCAGGTCTCTCCAGAGATGCTCAATTGGGTTTAAGTCAGGGCTCTGGCTGGGCCATTCAAGAACAGTCACGGAGTTGTTGTGAAGCCACTCCTTCGTTATTTTAGCTGTGTGCTTAGGGTCATTGTCTTGTTTGAAGGTGAACCTTCGGCCCAGTCTGAGGTCCTGAGCACTCTGGAGAAGGTTTTCGTCCAGGATATCCCTGTACTTGGCCGCATTCATCCTTCCCTCGATTGCAACCAGTCGTCCTGTCCCTGCAGCTGAAAAACACCCCTATAGCATGATGCTGCCACCACCATGCTTCACTGTTGGGACTGTATTGGACAGGTGATGAGCAGTGCCTGGATTTCTCCACACGTACCGCTTAGAATTAAGGCCAAAAAGTTCTATCTTGGTCTCATCAGACCAGAGAATCTTATTTCTCACCATCTTGGAGTTCTTCAGGTGTTTTTTAGCAAACTCCATGCAGGCTTTCATGTGTCTTGCACTGAGGAGAGGCTTCTGTCGGGGCACTCTGCCCTAAAGCCCCGACTGGTGGAGGGCTGCAGTGATGGTTGACTTTTTACAACTTTCTCCCATCTCCCGACTGCATCTCTGGAGCTCAGCCACAGTCATCTTTGGGTTCTTCTGTACCTCTCTCACCAAGGCTCTTCTCCCCTGATAGCTCAGTTTGGCCGGACGGCCAGCTCTAGGAAGGGTTGTGGTCGTCCCAAACGTCTTCCATTTAAGGATTATGGAGGCCCCTGTGCTCTTAGGAACCTTAAGTGCAGCAGAAATTTTTTTTTGTAACCTTGGCCAGATCTGTGCTTTGCCACAATTCTGTCTCTGAGCTCTTCAGGCAGTTCCTTTGACCTCATGATTCTCATTTGCTCTGACATGCACTGTGAGCTGTAGGGTCTTATATAGACAGGTGTGTGGCTTTCCTAATCACGTCCAATCAGTATAATCAAACACCGCTGGACTCAAATGAAGGTGTAGAACCATCTCAGGGATGATCAGCAGAAATGGACAGCACCTAAGTTAAATATATGAGTGTCACAGCAAAGGGTCTGAATACTTATGACCATGTGATATTTCAGTTTTTCTTTTTTAATAAATCTGCAAAAATGTCAAACATTCTGTGTTTTTCTGTCAATATGGGGTGCTGTGTGTACATTAATGAGGAAAAAAATGAACTTAAATGATTTTAGCATATGGCTGCAATATAACAAAGAGTGAAAAATTTAAGGGGGTCTGAATACTATCCGTACCCACTGTATGTGTGAGCTTCAAACCAGTTTAAAATGAATTGGGCTGATTTATATTATTTATCATATATCATGCTGTACAGCCGTGAACTGTAGTCTATCATAGAGGGGTTATGTGCTTATTATATTGTAACTGTTGCACAGTGAATACTGCAGGTGTTTGAACTGAGATGTCTTTGTTGAAATGAAATGAAATGTTGAAAATGCCTTACAGCTCTCGTACAGTCAAAGTCAAATGCAATTTCTATGTCGTTATTTTCTCCAGCACTTTTGAAAGTGCTTTGTCTGCAAAAATATACTCAATTTTGTCAAAGACATCTTCAAGAAAAGGCTGAAAAAAATTTCCTCCACTTTGAAACGAAGATAGTAATGAGAGAGAGACAGAAAGGGCGGATGTTAGTTGTAGCGGTTTCAGCAGCTGCGAACGGGGAAGATGCTCAGGAACATTAGAGCTGCAGGTTGTCGGAAGGTTTAATTGGTGCTGACACGGTGCTGGCATGTCTGAGAGAGATGATGGGTTCTGACAGAATGACCACTAATGAGAGTTTGGCACTAAGCCACACTGCAGCCTTTAAGCTTTAACAAGTCTGGATGTGTTTTTCCCTTGAGAGAAGAGGCGGACAATTACTTTAGAGTCTTCTACTCTCTGCCTAAATGCTGCTTCCCTGACAGACACTGACAGCAGTGTCAAGCATATAGTCGTGTATGGATAGCTATACATTGCACATTCCTTATATTTATGTATATTTTGTAATTGTATCAAGTAACATTATTTACTTGATTATAAATGAGAAATACTTTTTAGTTCTAAATGTTAATGGGTACAGGTTGCGTGGGTTTTATTATTTTAGGGATGCAGTTACAAAATGATATGCAGTAAATTCTTTTGTACTGCCACTGTTAGACATCTGATGTCAATATTGTAATAATAGTAATAAGCTGCATATATCAGGCTCAGTCTTTGTGTATGTTTTCCCAGAGAGCTGCCCAGCTTGACTGTGTCTGTGTGGTCGGAGTTGCCAACCGGAGCAGGACTGGGGTCAAGTGCTGCCTACTCTGTGTGTTTAGCTGCAGCTCTGCTGTGTGCGAGTGGAGCCATTCCCACTCCTCTCTGGGATCCCACTGCTGGGTAAAAAAAAAAAAAAATCGACATTATAACAATGATAAATATGCTCTATAAAAGGCAAATGACTCAAAGTAACAGGTGCAATAAATCACAGAGGTGCCTTTACTTCTGTCTCATACCATGTAAACAATTTCTCAGAGCATCTTTAGCTTGAAGTTGATGGAGAATTGAAGACTTTGAATCACATAATTCTTAAGTATAAAAATGGATACATCATCCAGGGGTCAACACAATAGCACAAAACACCTTTAAAATATAATCAAATGCACTGACCCGCAGCTCAATAAATACTATGTTTGAGAAGCTTGTGATACGTTTTTGGTGAATGTTTTTAACACAAAGCAACACAGAGCCATTTCAAACAACAATTACAAGAAAGTCATAAAAACACTGGAATATTAGATTTTTATTGTTTACTGTTTAACTTGGGAATTTAAATAAAATGTGTACAGAAATGTCTGCGACTTTGTAATAGGCGTTCATTTCAAGTACAAAGAGCTGAGAACACTTTTTAAAGCAGGATCTATATGAACTATTTAAGCAGAAAAGGACAAGAAATCTTCACATCATATTTGTAATTTCTTATGTAATTTTGAGTTCCCAGATGGATGGGTTTTCATATTATTAGCCAGCAATGTACTGATTCTAATTTGTTCCTTTCAAAAATTAACATTTGCTGTCAGGGATTCTTTAATCATAACTATAAATTTCAGTTAAATATCTAATGAAAAAAAGAATCTTTTTAGAAAACCAATGGCACAAAATAAAGCTCAGCTCTAGTGCCAGTCGGATATTGTTTTACTCTACTGCCAATCCTGTGAGATCACAAACAACATCTGTATGAAGATATAAGGTGCAGAAGACAACAGGTCTCAAAAAGTCTACTGGGCTTTAAAGTGCTTCCTTTTGTTTTAAAATGAGTGCAGGTGGTGTCAGGAGGACCTGGAGCTGATCAACAGCTGGGCTTTCCAAGGGGAGATGATCATCCACGGTAATCCTTCAGGAGTAGACAATGCTGTAGGAACATGGGGTGAGGCCTGAAATGATTCCGCATACGGTGCAGTACATATGGTGTTTTACCTCTCTTTGTCTCCATGGACACACAGCGCTCTTTAATGGAATCATCAGAGTATTGTAAGACCACTGTTCATCTGTGATGATTATCTGTTTAATGGTTTTGATCTCCCTTTATGTAGGTGGCATGCTGAGATTCTTGGCCGGGAAGATAATACCACTGGGCAGGTAATGACCCTGATCCAATTTAAATTTGTGTAAAGAGGGAATTAATAAAATGCAAAAATATTAGTCACAGAAAACATATGATTTCTGGGTAAAATTAGTGTATCAGAATATTGAATAATGCGGCTGTATGACCTCTGCTCTCTGTGCTTTTACTTCCAGGGTGCCACTATTAAGAATCCTCCTTACTAACACCAAAATACCACGTAGCACCAAGGTGCTTGTTGCTGGGGTGAAGGACAGAATTAACAAGGTGCTAAACGGTTTCTTTCTCCCCTGTGTGTTACTTGCTGACATTGTAATTAATATAATAGGTGGTGCTTTTGCATGGCACATACTCCGGAGCCCAATGTCGAGTGCCTTCATGAAATATTGAAATTAAACTCTTAGCTAGCACCCCTGTGTGCTGTTGCCTTGGTGACACCAGCAGGTGTGCAGATGTCTGCCTCGGCCCCAGATAGGCCTGGATGGTGTTGTGGCAGTGTTGTGATCAGGCTGGAACACAAACAAAGTCAAACCTGCCATTTTACAGTTTGTACTTGTATACAGCGTCTCCATTATGAAGCTTGTTTAGCCTAGTTTCACAGAGATTTGCTGTGAGGTTGGAGCTGCTGATTTCTTTTCATTTGTTTGCCCCTCCTGTAGTTTCCCTCTATTATTACTCCTGTGCTTGACTCAGTTGATGCCATTTCCTGCACTTGTGAGAAAGTCCTCTCAGAGATGACCTGTGAGCCCATCACAGGAGAACACTACAATATTCTAGAGGTACACAGTTGTGTAAAGCATGTCTTATTGTAAGCATGTTATTGAGATGGTGAAGTGTAATTGTATGGTTGTTGTCCTAATATATTCGTTAAAATGTACACTTCATCTCGAACCCATATTCATATTCTATACAACAGTTATCTAATGATAGGCAACAGGTATTAACTAAAGCTGTGTCATTCCATTTGTTAGGAGCTCATCGACATCAACCAGCACCATCTGAATGTGATGGGTGTGGGTCACCCTGCCTTGGACACCCTGTGCCGGGTCACGTTGACCAGAGGGCTTCACAGCAAGCTAACCGGAGCAGGTGGGGGAGGCTGTGGCATCACACTTCTAAGACCAGGTACTAAAGGCCAGTTGCTCTACTGGACACACCATAACATTGCAAATGTAATGTTTGCATAAAGGACTAAGTCAAAGGTTTATATCTTTATTTTAAAAGGGACTATTCTTTATCTGCTGCTGTAATTACCTCTGCTGTTTAAATGAGGCATATAATTGAAATGAATCCCTCATTTTGTCGAGACTATACTGCATCCCACAGTGGATTTGTCTTATAATGAATTCAATTTGATGAAGGGAGTTTGATGAGCCAAACTGTCAGACTCCCGCTGACAACAAATGTTCTGTTTTCCCTAAATGCTCCCTCACTCTTCCTCTCTGAAACAACGAATTGAGTGGCAGGAAATGATGAGACGCTTGCACAGGAGAGGTCCTTTGGTGTGCAGGTACTACTGTGCCATCGGTTATCATCCCCCATTTCATAAAATAAACAAGCAAAGAACCTGCACATTCAGCCTTTGTTTATGCCTGCAGCATGGTGCATAATAAGTTTTAATAAAATCCAAATAGATTTCCAAATGCTCTTTGTTTTTTTCCTTAACAATCAATTCTGTCTGTGTGAATCGCAGCTGTTTCCAAAGAGATTGTTTGTCTTCAGTGTTCTCAGAGAGTTGTTATTTTATGACTTTCTGAGTTAAGTTATTTATCATTGTGCATCTGAAGGTTTTTAATTTTCAAATGGATGTATGGTCAGGATCCTCCCTTTTGAGCTGAAGTGTTGAACCCTGTTGTGGGTTATTATCCTTGCAACAAACAGCTGGGAAGTGAGAATTTTTTCAAAATCACAACCATTGCAGAATCCTTATTTTCTGTGTTTGTAGAATTGACCGATGAGATCAGTTTTGTGTGTGGCTCCAGTGTTTCCCTTTTGCAGAGACTTTACAGGGCGAGTCCTCGCATCCATATGTTCCGTCTCTGAAAGTGCCACTGAAGCACAGTTAGTCTTAACATTCCACAGCATCCTTGACATGGCTTGTTTATTTTGTAGAAACTGACTCCTTCGTGGTCCAGAGTACAGTGCAGGACTTGAGAGACTACGGCTTTGACTGCTGGGAAACAAGTATTGGCGGGCCAGGTGTCCAGCAGCACGCTCCTCTCTCTGTTAAGGTGGAAGCTCTGGAGATTTTAAACCGATACTGACACCCACCTGTGGCTGTGACTCAAAAGGAGGGCAGACTCGCCTTTTTGTTGTTGTTGTTGTTACCTCAAGACCTGAGGAATACTGAACTGTCGAAATGGGCCAAGTAGATCCAGGGACATTTCATACTAACTGTCTAGTTTTGGAACTAACAACAAGTGAATTGTGCCTTGTGTGTTGGGTGAAACATCTCATGGAGTGTTTGCTCATCAAATGTCCCTGTGGTGAAATGTGTGTATTTTACCCTTTGACCACTAGATGGCATTAGAGTTACACAATTCCTTTTTATGAAAGAGGATTTACAGTAAGAGGCTCATATAAAATTGATTCCCGTATAAGTGAACCGCTGGCAAGATAAATGTATCTTTTCCTGCTGGGGTTTAAAACAGTCAGTCAAACCAGAGTCAATAATAATAATTAGATGATCATCAGTCGTTAATTACTTATTAACATGCATTGTTATTGGATGATATTGATCATTAGGTAGGATTTATTTATTTTCTTCTTTTTGGGGGGAGGTCATCAACAAAACTCAGTGGCTGTTCAGTTTTTTCATTCTTCATAGTCCTACAAAGGCTTTTATGGAAGTAGCTGCTTTATTGGTTCTCTTTTCATGAACAAGCTCAGTGAGAATATGTCTAAGCCAAGACAAGGAGATGATAATATCACAAATGTATTCCAAGTATTATTCACATCTAATGTCAGATTTCACTCATGAGTTATCATTATTAAGTCGAATGTCTGCTGTTTCAAACATAACTTCAGCATCGTACTGTATGTTACTGCATTCCTCTCACATTTTGGTCTTCATTTCACAGAAATGTTTAAATGTAAAATTATGCTATAAAGAGTTTTCTGTAATTTAAACTCAGTGTCATTCCAAGAGTATCTTAAATATCTGTGGTAGTTTGGTAAAACATCATTTCAGTGTTGTGTGTGTGTATATTATGCTCAGTTCTGCAGTTAAAGCCTAACTGGCGATGTTGTTTTGCTAATAGAGGATGGGGAGAGTGGGACAGCAGGAGTCTGTGGCCTCTCTGGAGCCTCTGGATTAGTGCGGTTATACTGTGAATCAACAACCAGCATCCTTGTGTGTGTCACACATTTGTACTGACATATATGTACACAAACACACACCAGTTTTCCCAAATTCGTCTCCACTTAATCGCTTATCCTCCTAAGCATTACAAAATATTGTGCAAATGCCGCAGATGCTGAAGACGGATCTGTTTGGAATATCCCTAATTTTGGGAAAAGGTCATTGTGGGATTCAGTTTGGTTTGAATATCCATTTCATTTTCAGTTTTTTAAATGTCATGAAGATTGAGTAGTACGAATCCGGCAGTGTATGTGAATAAACGACATTTGTCATCCTCCCTCCCTTTCCGCCTGGTGCCCCCTCTGTCCTCTTGAATTGTGTCATCTTTATGTCAGGGCAGCCCCCCGTCAGCACGCCGTACGGTTGCCCCTAACCCCTGCTGGAATTTAATTACCACTGTGCTTTTCAATTGAAATGGCATTGACAAGCGGGGACAAGAAGGAGACAACAGAACCTGTTTCATTTGAAGCCTCTCTCTTTCTTTTCTGTCTCATTCTCTCTTACTCCTTTTACCTCTGCAAGACAGATTTTTTTTTTAAATCAATGTTGGTGCCTCCTTTTTTCTGCTCTGATGAATATAATGTAAGGAGGCCCTCAGATTATTTCAAATCAGGGATAAAGGGAGGTGATCAGAATTAAAGCAATACAGCGAAAGCGACATGCTGTCCCAGGAGTGAGGAGGCAGATGTACAAATCATTTACCATTTACAGTTTAGGGAGTTTTGTCTGGATGGATCAATATTGGGAGAAGCAAGAATGTACAATGAGTTTTGTCCAAGCAGGAAAGATAAAACGTGAATTTGCCGAGTGGTCGCGTTCGCTGTGGCACATTCCCTCTGGTCCCTCAGTTGACTGGTGAAATGCCTGTCAGGAACCATTAAGTTTGAACACAAAATTAGACCTGACTAACAAGATATCATGTTGCTGATGGGCACCGGTTTTACCGTCAGGGAATCGGTGTGTGTATGACTTACTATGGCAAGCATTTCCATTTCCATATATTGTCCTGTGGATCACATCATGCTGTCTGTTGTTATTATGGAACATTTCTTTTGGGTTTATGTCATGATATCTGTGTTGAAATAGGATGTGGAATTGGCCACAGAAGGGAAGGGAATTTGTGTGACCGGCTTTCATATAGACACAGCGATAGTCAGCATCATGAACTCCTCTCTGTCATGATGGGCTATATGATCCTCATGGGGGTGTTTGCCCTTTCAGTAAGTGGAGGGGGGGGGCTGGTGTTAGAAGCCAGGAGCTGATTAAGACAGCAGGGTACATGGGTGCTGTCAGAAAACTTAGGGTTTAGTTTTAGGAAAATGTTATAAATGTTTTTTTTTTTGTTTGTTTTGTTTTGCTTTTTTGGCTCCAGCTACCCAGTTGGAGAAGTAATGCTGTGCATTTTTTTAAATGTTTATTTAGACAGGGCAAATTCTCTGAAAGGCCACCTCTCTTTTACAGGAACACCCTCATGACATTAGAGTACAGATACCCAAACCGAGCCTGACGGGACTCGTCAGGTTTGGCCCAGGTTGGACAGAAATTTAGAGGCTAGACGCCAGGAGCCCTAAAATGTCTGCTTCGTTTAGTGATAAGGGGAAAAACACTATAGAAATCAACTGCGTTGGGCTCGGGTCAGGTTTGGACACTATATTCTATAAGCTTGTCCGGTTCGGATATCAAACTCCCGGGAATGGGTTGGGTCCATATGGGAAAATGCATGTGGCCCGATCCACAGTCTGGATTATGTTCACATGTGGAAGCTGCCCAGTACAACCGTTATCTGACCTGGTGGTCAGATATAATGTTTACCATATTTGCCATCTTAGTTGACAGGGTTAGCATACTAATATTTGTTAATTAGCTCTAAACCCAAAGTTTGATCCGGTTGTGGGGAATGTTAGTTTTCTCAGTATTTGTTCATATATTAATTATAGAAAAATAAAACATTTAAGTTTATAATGGCTCTAAATTGACATTTGTAGGCCTCTTGGTATTCATCCTGAGACATTTGGACCAAATCTGGTGATAATCCATCCAGCAGTTGTTGAGACATTTCATTAAAAACCACAAGTATCACTGTCAATGTCAACATGGCACTAGAGGAAAAGTCGAGTGATGTCCACATTGAGTCAGACCAATAATCTGGCAACCATGAATGTCTGTTTTAAGCTTGCAATATTTGCTGAGATGTTTCAGTCTGGGCCAAAGTGGTAAACTGAGGGACCAACTGACTAACGTTAGAGCCGTGCCATCTGCATAGCTAAAAAATATTACAGGTAAGGTCTGAATAAAGAAATGCTTTTTCTACTTCCCTATTTTGTTAATCATCTTGTGGCCTCCTAGATTTATTTTGTGACCTCCAGCATGGCAATCTTGTCTCACCACTTACGCAGAATGTTTCAAATGAGGTTTGGAGGTGTTTATGAAATGGGCCCACAGGGTGTACTTGCTTGAACTGTATTATTGTAAACATCTTAAACACATGACAGAGCAGGTCCCAGTCCACCTCCCGTTTTCCATCATGGAATTGTATCATGCCATTGTATTTATCCTGTAATTGATCCTGTGAGGTCGAGAGCACCTGCAACATACTCTGTCATCCCTCAGTGCCAGGAGCGCTCTTGTTTAATTGCAGGCTAAGGTGCTGTTTTTTCTTGTTGCCTTTGAAAAGCCTCATTGATTTTTATACCACCCTTTATCCAGGCTGTGTTCAGTTTTCAGAGCAAATCCCTTGTGTTGAAGTTGCCCAGAATGGAAAAATATGAAATCTGTCAGCACTTTTCACAAGGCTTCCAGGTGCAATCCACACACGTTAACACTGAAGTTAAAAAAAGTTGGGATTCTGTGTGTGTGTGTTGTGTGTTTTAATGTTTAAACAGAAGAAGGAAAAAGAGAGGCTGTGCAGCCTTCTACCAGTCTGTCTCACGTGGGACCACTAGAATGTGAGGTTGTGTTGCAAAGACCCTGATCAGCAAGGTCAAAGTCCATCACTATTTATTTGGATTGTTTCTGTTCAAATGAACCAATATTTGAGAAAAATGGCATGTCCGGTATGTAGGCATAAATCAGAGGTTGAGCAGTATTTTTCGTATATAAAAGGACATAAATCCATGAAATTTGTTTCATTCTTTATTTTTGTTTCTGTATCGTGTATGGCTTTTGTACAAGAAACACATACTTCAATAACACATTCAATTAAATCATCTGGGACCATTAAACCAAACAGGAATGATATTTTACTTAATTTTTTTCTGTCTTTAAACTGCAGTGTTAGAAAGAGGCACATATTCAGTACATTAGGAGCTCTATAGAACAAAAATATCCTAAATGAAATTTGATATGCATTAATTTAAGAAGCAGCTTATCTTAACATTCATACTTTGAACTTGCTTTGAATTAGAAGTAGGTCCTCATCATTTCGCAGGGATTGCAGCCAATTTATTGGATTCCTTTTTTTTCTCTCAGAGACTTGGGGAAGAGGATGATCTGAAAATGTTTTCACATGACATAGTGTGATTGATGGACCATTAGAATGTCAGCCAGATGTACTTAAAACCACAGCTTTTACATTGATAAATCATGGCACAAATGGATACATAAAGCTGTTAGAAACAAATATTCCAGAGCTATCTGCATTCAGATAGTAATGGATGTTCTGTTTGCTTGTCTGTTTGTCTGTAGGTTTTTTTAAATGCATTTTTCCTCTCCCAGTGTATCTGGACCACTGCAGTCATGTAATTACAATGGGACAGGTAGGAGTGTTCATATTTCATCTGCTGCATTCACGATAACATCTAATAATCTGAAAGCGTTGCAAAATTGGTATCTCGTTGCTCATGCATTATGAATGAGTCACTGATTGCTTTTTTGCATAGATTAGCAATCATTTCACAGAAATCTTTCATATAAAAATGTGCCAGGAGTGTTCTATCTCCTTCTCTGAAGAGTTGAGGTGACACATCCTGCCGCTTTTTAAGATAAGACAGATCAGGTGATACTACTTCTCACCCCCTTGCCCCTCTGCTCCATCTCTTGCTCTCTGATTTATTTTTCTATGCATATCATCGTGGGGGGGGGATAAGTGTATTTTTCAGCCCACTTTTCAACTGATTGCTCACTTAGTGAATATATTCAGCATCTGCACTGTTATTGTGTTTGGAGCCAAGTAGCTAAGTACCACTGAGAATCTTCAAAGTAAACATTTGCAGACTCTAGAAGTCCCTCAAGGACAGTAAATCTTTAGAGCTCTGAGACTGCGCGTCCTACATGTGTATCTTGGTGACCTGTCTGACTCGTAGCCTCAGATTGACACATAGCACATACAAAAGGAGCTCATATGGTCTAGTGGTTAGGAAAATAGGCTGGTGACCAGGTCGCTGTGTAAAGTCTCAGGCGAGGTTTATATACCACTTTTGTTGCCTGTCAGGCAAATAACCTGCTTCACAGTCACAATGATCTACATAATTCAGTAAAATGTCAAGTCAAATTTATTTCCCACAGCACTTAAAGTGAATTTTATTACCTGTGTGAGCAGTGCAGCTATCATTATTTTAATGTTGCCGAGAGCTGCCTGTAGACTCAACATGAAATGGAGTTGGTCTTAAACTTAAGTTCTCACACAGAAATGCTTTATTAACACATTTAAATAAATCCTTTTGTTTGATATTTTCATGTGTTTGGACAAGATCTGCATTTTTCCAGTTGAAGGAATAAAGGAAAAGTGTCAACAGTATGAGTGTGTATGAAGCTTGTGCGTGTGTAGATGCCTACACTGTCTCCCCCATTGTGACCCCTGGCCTTTGCCCCCCATCCCCTCCCCAAATGGGCAGACTTTCAGCCAAGGCCCTGTGGAGGTTGGTACCCTCTGCCTGACAGCCTGTCACTGTGCTATGATGGTGATTTTTTTTTTTTCTCCAGGAGATTGTGTCTGATTGGGAGCAGTGTGTGAATAGCCCTGTCACACTCGATAAGCCAGCAAGACGACCTGTGACGGGGACATATGGCATGTTTGACAGGGAGAGAGGGTGCGAATCGCACTGAATGATAAAATGGTGTTTTTTCCCCCTTTGGCAATGTCATGCTTTCAGGCAAGCATGTGGACCATCGTTCACTCAAGCGACTGACTCCGGCCTCCTTGTGACATCTCCTTCAAGGTCCTGGGTTTCACTGCCTTGTGCCTGGCCAATTCTGACACTGTGATGCTGCTCACAGCTGCCCTGTTAGCTTGTTGACGTGGGGAACATAATTGGATATCAGTTTAGTTTAGTGATGCAGACTGGGAAATTCATCTTAAGAGCCTGTTCGTCAAAGCTCCTCGTAAAGCTCTCCGGCACTGCAGTCCTCCATCCTCTCTTCTCAGCCTGTCACACGCCTCACACTGTTGATTAATACACACACAGTCTCATCAGACGACTCTAATTGATGGGTTCAGCCTCCTCAGGACCCTGATTTATTTAAAGGGCCATGAACACAGAACAAAGGAGAAAAAAAAAGAATGGAGGAAGGAGACAAACAGGCTTGGATTTAAGTTTGTCAGGGAAATTATTGAGTTGCACCGCATGCTTCTCATCCTTACTGTCAGCCAGGTCTTGACTTCTGGTGTTGCAGCCTCAACTCCTATTCTGTCGAGTGTCACAGCGTCTGTGTTTGTGGCCATGACAGACAGCCCAGGTGTCACACTCAGGCTTCAGTGCACCATCAGGCACCTCTGCTCTGGTCCCTAGTGGCTCACAGTTGGAGAGACAGCACAGTCCAGTAACCCCTCTCAAACCCAGTATGTCTCACTCCCTGGGGAATCCCTTGCGGAATTTACTCTCTGTCCACTGGGCCAGAACTTAGACGCTCTGCCAGCGGTCAGATGATCCTGATTTCTCTTTGAATACTAATTATAAGATGCCAGCTGTTATATTTGCTACCTCTGCCACTGTTAAGACTAATTCTGCTGCTTCTTCCTATATGGAACAAAGTAGAGCACATTGCTAAATCCAGTGGTTTGGCTTGGTGAGGGTGTCAAAAGGTTAAGAGAATCAAAGTTGATGACTCGATGAGAATTACGATTGTGCTGTTTAGGCCTTTGTAGGTGGAGGGGTTTAAAGCTGCATTTATCGATACTCTTTTTACAACAATAGATAAAATGTGAGAGACCCACCGAGAATACCTCTCTGCAGTCCTCTACTCCGCTCAAGTTTTTAAGCATCTTTGAGAGATCATTGTTTTGGGTTTATGGTCTGCAACTTTAATGTTTTGATTCACTCTCACTGCTCTCATAGGTGTGAGGGTTATTTAGAGATGTGTAGTGCCAATTACTGAGTAAATTAAAAGAGGAGAAAGTTCTTCAAGCAAAAAATGTTCTTTAGATTTCTTTGATCCAAATAATTGTAATTGTAAAGTCAGACTTAAAAGCTAATACACTTAGTATAGTTTGGTCTTATGTAATGCATCACAGTACAGTACTTTAAAATTGTTGTGGAGGTGACAGTGGTGCGGTGGGTAGAGCAGTCGTCTCCCAACCAGAAGGTTGAAGGTTCGAATCTCGGTCCAGATGTCGAAGTGTCCTTGGGCAAGACACTGAATCCACCCGTCGGTTGAGTTGGAACCACAGATGGCTGCCATTGTTTCTGTACCAGAAACAAATTCCTTGCGTGTAACATACTTGGCCAATAAAGGTGATTATCCTAAAATGTAAACATTTCACAAAATATACATATATATCCATATATATATATATATATCCATATATACAGTACAACAGTTTGCTATAGATAATCCTTATGTATAAATTGATTCAAATCATTTTCTCCTCAGTGTCCTACAACATTAAAATGTTGATAACAACTGGTGATAACACTCCAGTAATATGGCATAAGTACTTAAGTAAAATGTAAAGTTTCATTTTTACTTGTAATGGAATATATATGGGCGTTAATATTAAAGGATCAGGAGACTTACTCATCATAGTTAATTGCTCTGAATGAGTTAGATTATTTCCCATGTGACATTTTGTCAGAGCATAATTAGGGCTTGTGACCTTATAACGTAATCAAATGGCACGATTTTCTTAGTCTGGATCACTGTGTATGTTTACATAAGGGGATGGTGTGTAATTCAGTGACAGTTCGGCTTTAGTTCTTGCACAGCCATAAATTGTGTTGAAATATTTCCAAACTGCTGTCCACGCCTGTGTGAGCACTCTGTGACAGCTGCTGTTTCACTGGACACAGTTTCAGGCTGAGCAGAGATGGTCCAGAACCTTAACTCATTGACCCTGCATCTGGTTTTTTTTTTTTTTCATTGTGGATTGCATCCACAAGGCTTGAGTGGCAGGCTGTCCTCTCATACAGCCGCTCTGCCGAATGCTAAAGTGGACTCGGCCTTGCAGCAAGAGATGACCCGAGTGCTGTGACCGTCCTGCTGCAGTGCCATTACGAGACAAGGAAGGCTCTTTATCATCGGCTACAGATTGTCTCCTTTTTGTACGTGATGATTGTTTCTTAAACAGCCATTAGGGTCCTTGTGTCAAAGAAACTTTAATCAAATACCCATTTTAAGGATGTTGTCATGTTTTATTTCATGCATTTTCTTACAAGATTATAGGGATAGCTGGCACTACAGCAGTATACATAAATATGCATTGGGCTGTGTTAAACACTAGAAACACAAAAGTGGCCATTCTGTGTGATTGTATTCACTTACAGGAGGATCATATTGCGGGGGGATACAGTTGTAAACTAATATGAAATAAATCAACTCTTTGATTAGCCCACAAAGTCTAACTGTTACGATATAAAGGATTTCTTTCGGACAACACTTTTTGATGTGGTAAATACATGATTGTAACTGACGTTGTTTATCAGAGGACTGTTACTGTATAATTTTATATCTTCAGATTATACTGCACTGATTAAGCGCAAACAATGTGATTATAAAATGTTAATTCAAGAAGCTCGGATCGGAGATCATTTTCAAGCTGATCGTGCAAGTCATTATTTTGATTGTGATCATATTAAATATCAATATATTGTATATATCAAATATTATATTAATAATATTATTGAACATCATATGAAATACCTTACAGTTATGTCTGAACATGTTTTAAAATAGTCTGTGGTGAAATGTCATAAATGTTCCAGTTTGTTAATTTTTAAAGAAGCAATAATGAATTCGAATCACTTAAACTGTTGCAAAGATTATTGCTGATTTCTT